ATAAAATCCTTGAGATATTTTTACGCTGTAGATGAATCGATTTTTAACAACACAGAAAATTAGCGTGCTGGGAGTCAAGAAAAAGTTCATATTTATTTAATAAAAAATTTCAAATTAGTGAGACAAATGTAGAATAATGTGAAAAAATCCAGATAAATACACGGAGAGAATTTTCTCTTAGAATTTACCTTGAAAATCATGGTAATCGTGGTCAATATGGTGTCATTAAAAATGACACTTTGCGCAGAATAATAAGTGTGACTAATCAGGGTGTCCAGCAGACTCAATGAAAAAAATTCCTTGATTTTTTCAGATTTTCCAAGACCGGAAATTCATTTTTTCCCCGATTTTTTAGTATTATTTTTTCCAAATATATCATTTGCATATATCTATATGATAAAACAATTAAATGTTAAATCCTTGAGATATTTTTGCCAACAATAAAAAGGTTCGGGAGTTAAGAAACAAAAATTTAAATCAATTATACAATCTGCGTTATGCACGATAATCGAAAGAAACATGTCACTATTATAAACTATTTAAATAATCACCCTTTTTATTTATATTATATCAAATTTTTTAGTTTTGTCTTTATCAAACACATTGAAATAAAATAACACGATGATGAAAATATAAATTAACGAACACGCTGTAGATGAATCAATTTTTAACACAGAAAATTAGCGTGCTGGGAATCAAGAAAAAGTGTATATTTATTTAAAAATAAAAAATTTCAAATTATTGAGACAAATATAAAATAATGTAAAAAATCCAGATAAATAATGAAACACTTCCTGACTTTTCCCTAACAATTCCAGATTAATAAAATTCCCTGACAATGCCCGGTTTTTCATCTATATCGTCGAATGTAACAATTAGGCCGCGATTGGACGAATCCGGCGCGTGTTTGCGGAAAGCTTTTTATTCGTTTCGTAAATTATATATTTTTTTATATAGCAACAAGAAAGGAATATATCGTTTTAATCGACGTGACCGACCATGGGGGTTTACAACTTCTTCGCCGGGAGAATGCAATAAGCATATATGACGAGCAACGAGCGAAATGTGAATTTGATTGTTCGGCTCTGACACGGGCAAAAAATCTCCGCAAAAAAGCATGCCGTGTAACGTGGCTATTTGCAAAACACGCGACTTTAAGCAGCGCTCTCGTTCGGCACATGCCGAGTGTGAAACGATCGACGAAGCTAAAAATAAAGATTTCATCACGCGATAAAATCATTCCTAATGAGAATTGATAAAATCCATCATTTATGTAGAATTATTGGGCAATTAGGGGCAATGTAAAGGTCTGTAAAAAAAATTGGACGAAAAAATTCATACGCATATATTTCCTGAATTTTATATCCTTCGAGTTTAAGAAAGAGTATTAATTATGGAATTTTTTTGTTATATATGAATAATCCATCCATGTGTTTATGTAGATAATAATATATTATCACGAATTTTTGGATCGTAAAGCAGCAAATGTAATTTTTCACGTAACTGGTTTACAATTACTGATTTTGATGTTGAGTAATGAAATCAACTCGATGTTAATTAATTAATTAATTAATTTCTCTCGAAAAGAGCAGTTTACATTTCACGGGTTATTCGCGAGTTTTCGCCCACCGGAATTATGGAGATGAAAAAACGGTACCTCTCTCTTTCTCTCTTGACTCGAAATAACGCGCTCGGCCGAATTATTTAAATCCTAAAATACGGTAAAATGAAAAAATGATCCCCGCTTGAAAGACGAGCGACTAATGTATAATCCGGTTTGGAGTTTATGATTTAACCGGTTCGCAACACTTTGTCATACACGAAATTTTGTCGGCCAATTAAGCCGCGTAGTTACTTGCGCGAATTAATTTGCATTAAGGTAATTCAAAGCTTGCGGGATGTGTGCAAAACGCAATTCACTTTACTCGAGTGGTATAATTTAGATTCACCGTTGTCTGCGGAAAAACTGGTTTCAAGGTGTTATACGCGTGCAACAGGATTGTTCTAGATTCCGAGCCGGGTTTATTCAGGCGTCAAAACTGACCCGCGGATTTCAGACGGTTGATTTCAACGCGACATAGTATTCCGATGGCGTTAAAAGTGAGAAACTTTACCCTAAATTTTCGTGAGAAACCGTACTCTCTTAAAGAGACACGTGCGATCATGAAAAATTATTTAAAATAATAATTATCATCTCGAAAAAATGTATACCATTGAATCATACATTTTATCATTAGTTTCGTTGCAAATTTAAAATATTTAAATATACAATAAACAATAATAAATATAAAAAAATTAATATTTCTATAATAAATAAATAAATAATACATAACATAAAATAAATGATAAATATATTAATACATATATTAATACATATAAAATAATAATTAATATCTCGAAAAAATGTATACCATTGAACCATACATTTTATCATTAGTTTCGTTGCAAATTTAAAATATTTAAATATACAATAAACAATAATAAATATAAAAAAATTAATATTTCTATAAATAAATAAATAAATAATACATAACATAAAATAAATGATAAATATATTAATACATATATTAATACATATAAAATAATAATTAATATCTCGAAAAAATGTATACCATTGAACCATACATTTTATCATTAGTTTCGTTGCAAATTTAAAATATTTAAATATACAATAAACAATAATAAATATACAAAAATAAATATTTCTATAAATAATAAATAAATAATACATAACATAAAATAAATGATAAATATATTAATACATATATAGTAAACGAATAAATGAGTCACAATATTTGATACAACACGAAATATAAGTTTAAACAGAAAAAACTACGTATTACGATTAGTTTTCGCGAGTGCTAAAGTCTTGTATCGAGGAAACAAGTTAGACCAAGGAAAAAAGGACTGAGATTTGCCGGGTATAAGATGCCAATACAAATTTAACGTAGTCGTTATCCCGCCTTGCGAAGGGAAAAGCCGATCGAATGTGGAAGGGTCCGAGTAAAAAAAAAAAAAAAAGCAGAGTATCCGCGAGAAAGACGACCTGCGATAAAACTTCATGGGACTATCGAACAAACTACCGACGGCTACGATATCGCTGTTATTTATTTCGGCGAGGTCACACTGGTCTTCCGCTGAACTTTATCCTCGAAACAATTCTACGATCGAGAGCTACGGGATATTCCGCCTCCAGTTTCGTTCCCCGATAAAAGCGTCGGTCGAGCAATTCAAGAAATACGAGGAACGACGAGAAATTTATTTACCGATTTTTCAGATAGCGCGATGAAAAAAATCTCACATTTTTTCAAAGAGAAAATCACCGTGATTTCATACATCAAACATGGATAATTGCGTAAGTCTGTTTGCCTCTGATTAATTTCCCAGATTTTATCGTATATTGTTCATTTATTTTTTGTCTTTGTTAACATAATTTAAACATATATACAGGGTGTCCCAGAATTACCGTATCACATTAATGGGAGATTCCTGAGGCGATTTTTCCTCAACGAAAATGTCCAGACATCAATAATTTTCGAGTTATAAATGATTGAAAATAAAAGCTTTTTTGTAAACTAAGCCTTGTAAAAATAAATTATTAACAAAACTACTTTTTTTAATTAATTTCAGGTAAAGTTTACTTTAATAGAATTTTAATTTAAGGCTTAGTTACAAAGATACATGATTTCAAAAATTAAGAACATTAAAAAAATGATGACCTTTCTCGATATTTTCGCTGAGGAAAAATCGCTTCAGGAATCTCCCATTAACGTGTGATACAATAATTCTGGGACATCCTGTATATATGTATTGTGTTCGTACCTTCGCGAAACTGAAGCTTATATTCATGCTTAAAAAAATCGAGCTGAAGAACAGAACAATCGCGCGTGTATAGGATCTCTGGCCAGCCTACTCCTTTCCCTCGTGTTCCTCCTTTTTTTTTCCTCGAGAAGAAAGATATCGCTTCGAGAAAGAAGAGAGTACGCGGCCGACCACATAGTATGCACAAAATCCGGCCCCAAGCTGGGGTAAGATAATAAATATGCAAAAAAGAGGAGTTTCGATGCCGTAAATAAAAACGGGCTTGCGTGCTATGCGAAAGTCTGCGGTGAGAGAGGATCGGGCGATTCGAAATAAAGGACGGTAGAGAGGCAGAGAAGGGTGGTGTGACAGGGGTTGGTGGAATGCGAAAGAAAAAAAGAAGAAAAAAAAGTGAAGAGGAGGAAAGAAATGCAGCCTCTTTCTTTCGCGAGAAAGCAAACGCGCGCGTTGTAATCTCTTGATTTCGTTCGACTTAGCAGCGATGAATGTGTTTCACTGGTACTTTGTCGGCCTTTTCGAGACGTGGAGGCAGGTCGAAGGTGGACAGAAAAGCAAAATATTTAACAGCGATATCCGTGGATGATGGATATATCTTTGTCAGTGAGATAAATTTAAAAAAAGGTCAAATTGATCCTTAAATTCCCAAATGCTGTCACGTGAATGAATGATAAAGAATGAATTTTAATTTATTCGCGTCTGTTTTAATTATCTTATTTTTATTCGCGCTCGTTTAAAATAATAATTCGCAGATGAGTTATTCAACCGTTTGCTTTTTATAAAGATTTCAGTCTTCAAAAATATGTCAGAGTATAGAGATTATATTAGATTAATACGATAAAAATGTTTTCAATATTATTTTTTCTAATATTATCAGAGATGATCATATTTCATCACACACTTTGTACCTATATGTATAAATGTCCGGTTGAGCAAGGATTGATGGCGATAATCGAGGCGATTATACCGCAGTATTGTTGATAAAATAGAAATAGAAGTATAAAAATTCTACGATCGTTTATCGTTTCACAGCGACAATGATCGTCAAGTGATTTTAATCCAGGCAATTTCGACGTAATAAAGTAGCGCTTGATTACGAAGCCGGTTTATCGCGTCGACGAATCGATGCATCATCCCCGGCTATACGCAAAGAGGTAACGTAAGATATTTCTCGTACTCACCTGTACGCGCTGTCGATGCCGATCTTGTTTCCGCTGCCGCCTCTCGAGTTCTTCCTTCCTCTCGATCAGCGACCTTATCTCGACAGCCGCCACGGGAGCCGTTGCATCGTCGGGCACATTGCCGCACGAGGGTAATCTTCTCAACGTGGAAATCGGCTCCTCCTCTCCTTCGCTGTAACTCTCCACCATAAGCTCCGAGTCGCTCTGAAAGTGAATTAATTCCGTTCCCGGAATAATGAACCGTGGCAGAGATCGGATTTAACGGAGCAGAAATTCCGAAGAGGTAAATCTCGGTCTATAATTCCGCTTCGATGTAATTACGAGGTACTTTCGTAATTACTTTCGCTATGTTATTTTATTTAACTAATTTAATTTTATATTTAATTTTTGATTAGCCGGATAAATTATTTTAATTCGATTTTTGCATCTAATTGGGACTGTTCGTGTTGAACTATTTTTAATAATTTAAATTTATTGTTAGCGTATTTCGCCTTTTAATTTTGACATAATTATTTAATTTATTTTGACATTGTATTGCGACTTTTTGATAGAATTTTTATTTATATTTATTTATTTATTATAATGTTTATTGCGCACTGAAGAAGACTGAGTACAGTTCGAAACGTTTGTAATTGGTTTTTTTAAATTCAAGTTTTTCCAAGATTTATAATAATTTTTTATTTGCTCGTTACACATGACCTCGTAATATTTAATAAGTTATCATTGTGTTAATTTAATTTTTCTATTTTTAATCGTTATTTTTTTTTATTAATAATTTTAAAAAATTTCAACAATATTTAAATAATTTTTTATTTTCGCATTATTGGAAACCCACTGTGTTAAAAAAAATTGAAGCTGATATTTAAAAATGACTCTTCGCGTCTCTTTCATCCGCCATGTCGAGTCCGGAAAATCGAATCCGGAATCTGCGGAGCTCTGTGTTGTAGCGCACCGTACGCATTTTCTGCGGGTTTCTAGCGAAAGATTTATGACAGTTACCAACATACCTGTGTCGGCGGCGAACTCGGCGAACTCGTGCTCGAAGCCTCGACCACGGAAACGTATTCGCTGACGCCGGTCTCGCTCTTTTGCAGTTTCAACACCGGTGTCTCCAAGCCGCACAAGAACACTTGACCGAAGAAGAGAATCTTGCTTATCCTCAGACACACCTGAGCCACTTCCTGAAAACGTATCGCGAATTTCACCAATGATAAAACGCGGAGGTACTCCGGTGATACACTGATATGCTAAAATTCTATTCCAAACTTTAAAAAAAAATTTTTTTTTTCCAAGTAGAAAAAATAATCTATTTTAAATTTATTATCAGCAATAAAAGCACCGATTTTAATGCGAGGTGACCTACCATGTCTTCCGTTTTCTTCACATAGCAAGGATCCTGCGGATTCAACATGAGCGGCGTGAATCCCGCCAGCGTAATATCTTCCGGTAATTTCACAAGCTCCAGATCTAAAAGCAAACCCAAAAAATTCGACTTGTGTATGCGCAATAAATCCTCGTATGAAATTCGTAAATCGTGCCAAATCGAATCCTTTTGCAGAGACATGCAGAGAATTGACCCCGAATTTATCCGCAAAGATCCATATCACGTATCGCGAATCGCGAAAAGAGCTCAGATGATGTTTATGCAACGTTTCTTAGAATGCGCTCGCATTCTGGCAACCCATCGCCTTTCGCATGCGGCATTAATAAATTCTGATAATGCAATATCGTAGAATAATAATCCGCGATGTAAAATAAAAGTTTCCAAAACCTTTTCTTATACGTAAAAATATTAAAATGGTGTACGAATATTTATTATTTATAAAATTTTTATCTATCCTTTTTCTTTGATATAAAACACTTTTTGACGTTTCGAAATGTCATAATATTGAAAAATATTTAAATTTCGGTAATTAATAACGGAGAAAGTGTTATACACTTCTCACCTGACGATTTCGGGACGCGCAATAGTTTCTACGTTAAGGACGCGCGAAAGGCTGAAGAAGAGATCGTGATTGCGGAGTTGACAAACTTATAAATTCTAGTCAGCCAGCGTGATCAACCCTACCTCACCGTGTGATATTCACTATGAGCGACGCGCGCACTTGACGTCCAATACATACGTACTCGGTTTAGAGGTAAGTATACCGTGAGCAAGGACGCGTCGCGAAACTGGAACGCTCGTTTCCAGGCGACCAACCGTTGGAAGACCCAGTTCGCGATCGCGAGCGATTTATGAAAATAGTAGCCGGTGATTTGAGAAGGAAATGGGAAAATTCGTCGCGAAAATTGCGCGTATTCGCGACGATTTCAGCTGGTTCCGGGGGTTCCTTTAACTCGGTTCCCAGACAATTATTTCTCCTTCAAAAATGGATGTAAAAATTAATCGATCGATGACGTGACCACTACATCTCCTTGTTTCAAAAAATGTCAGAACCATCGCGACCATATATTACAATGTTTCTCGAATTAAAACCGATCAAAGGGGCTAAGTGTATTTAAAGGAATCCCAAACGCCGCGGTGTTTATAATTTTTAAAAAATTTGTTAAACACAAAATCGGTAAGTTTGCACCTTGTTTCTATATGTCTATATATCTTAATCGTGGAAAAGCATTTATTTTAATTAACCAATAAAAAGGAAAGGGTGCGCAAAAACAAGACTCGGGTTTAGGATCCCCTTAAGAGTGATAATGGATCCTGCGCAAAATGATCCGCGACCTGAAAAGCTTAACGGTACCATTTGGTCAGATACATCGAGGCGATATGCGTGCCAGATATGCGTAAGGGAAAAATCGAGGGAAGACGTCGTCGAGTCGTCTTCGCGGCTCGCGAGATCTACACGTGAATGAGCTTCGGGGCAATGCAATTTGTGTATTCATAACGTAAACGCGGCGGGCAAACGTATAGTGGCGAGATGCGGCTCGCACGCATGCTGAAAGACCATTGGCCACACGCTAGTAAACGGCCGCAAGAGAATGGCACTGCAGTGGTCATGTCGAACGTATTCACCGTTACGCAACCGTCGCGCCAGCTACCTAGCTAAGGGTCAACAGACCGGTCACCGACTTCGCCGGCTCTCCTCGAGAAACTCGCGGCTTTTTCGATTAAGCCTGGTCCAGGTCGGCGCTTCCAGAAGAAGAAGAAGGAGATAGCTCGTTCACTTCCAAACGATAACGTTTTATCGTTCAAGTACCTACTGGGAAATTTAATTTTCCCGATCTCGCAGACCGAATCATCCCAAACGAGTTCGGTGTTAACCAGGGTGTCCAGCAGACTCGATGGAAAAAATCCCTGACTTTTTCCAAGACCAGAAATTAATTCTTCCCCTGACATTTTAGTATTATTTTTTTCAAATATATATAATTTGCATATATCTATATGATAAATCAATTAAATGTTAAATCATGAAATCCTTGAGATATTTTTACGCTGTAGACGAATCGATTTTTAATAACACAGAAAATTAGAGTGCTGGGAGTCAAGGAAAAGTTTATATTTCAAATTATTGAGACAAGTGTAGAATATAATATGAAAAAATCCAGATAAATAATGAAATTTCCTAACTTTTCCCTGACAATTCCAGATTTATAAAATTCCCTGTCAAATATATCGGTAACTTAATTAATTTCTCAAGTCTGGCGATTTTTTCCACTTCTGATTTTCTTTTAGTTTTAGATAAAACGATGCAGAAAATTGTTTGTCGTCCGCAAGAGAGAAAGTACATTAATTTGAACGACGTACCTTTGCCCTCTTCGCGATCTTCGGTATCCTTGCCCTGGATCAAGGTCGTCCTGGTGTAATTTAATTTTTCTAGAAGATTCACCATCGTTGCCAACCTGCTCCACGCGTCTCCCGGCGGCCTGTAACAAACGAGTTGAACATCCTCTCTAAATTTCACGATAACGTGCATCCGGAATGAGAGTCTGAGCGAGAATCGACCGCGTCACGATAAAGATCCTCTCAATGATTTGGCAAAAACTCTCTCTAATATATAATCTAAAGACGAGGAAAAAAATTCTCGACAATGTATCGAGGTCAAATGTCAAATTTATTTTCTGCGCGATTAAATCGGTCCTACTTTGGGGGATTATTAAGTCGTCGAACTGATGATTTGTGATTCGCGCCGCTTTTGAGATGGTAATCCTTAATTCCCTAAAGTATATTTTTTATCGAGAATTCTTCCTAACGTTATACTTGACGCCACCGTGGCGCCATGAGAGGCCGATGACCTTTCCTCTTCCTCCTTTTATATACCTCTCGGTAATATTCGGGACTCGTAATTTTCTACGGATTTCAGATTCCTAATTATTGTTTTTGTATGAGTGACGGCGTAAATGCCCCGAAAATGCTCGCGAGGCTTGCCGGCTGTGTAAACAACACTTGCTCAAACATTTGCTTACGAAAAAAAAAAAATGTTAAACCGAGTAATTTGCTACTTGATTTTCGTCGCTACTGGCACTGACACACGAGGTAAATATTTTCGGTCTCTGGACCATTCGTCACGCGACGAAATATTCTCGCCGCAAGGTACGACAATTACCGCGCGACGTGACCAAGAATCTCCCTTTCCTCTTTCTCACAGAATAAAATTCTGTTTGCCGAAAATACAGCCTCGGTGCACGAAAAGGTGCCTTCGATGAGATATCCCGAAGGAGAATATCTTGCGGTTTCCGAGAGCGATTACGATGCGCGGCGTGAACGCGCGTTCACGAATTTTCGCACGCCTCGTTCGCGTGCGCGATATTTCTCGAGGTATACGCATCAAATAAATCCGAGGGCTAATAAAATTTATATCCGGACCGTTTCGCGAAAGAGACGAGGAAGCGTCCTCGCGCGAATATGATATATCCCCCACGCGACTATTTATTATCAACGTCGAGAAATTATGTATTGGAAATTATTGCGACGAGGGAGAGCCGCGTAATGCGCGGATAATAATAATAGATCACGAATTTATACGCGTTTAATGTACTTCGCGAACGACCGGCGGCGGCTCGTTCCGCCGACGTTATTAATGATCTACCTACGGCGGAGCATACGTTTCCATTCACCACTTCCGTATTACTGTAAAGCCCAAGTCGCCCGCTCAATTAATTCTCACGCTACTATACGACGACTCCAAGATCGCTTGTCCAAGCAAGGGCAACCTCGAAAGGCGACCGGAACTCTGCTTCTATTCCCTAATTGCGAACATTAATTTCGCTGATAGCACACCGGCAGTTTCCTAACAATGTTTGCACATTTTAAATTTTTATTTTTCATTGTCACTTTTATTACTCGATTCGATTATAAAATAAAACGTAGATTTTTAAAATTAAATTTATCTATAATGAAAAATAATTTTTTCAAGACAAATATTCCCGATAATTCCGCGAAAAATTGTTCTGCCGTATATATATATAATATTTTACGACATTATATTCTACAGATTTTCCTTCGGGGAAACAAAATGCTTATAATCATCATAAAATAATTATGCTCGCATGAAAAAAACAGACTCCGAGAGACTATAAATTTTCGATACAAACTTCATTGTGCAGGAATTATTAAATCTTTGCGGCACGATTCCGATGATAGTGTGTGAGATAAAATCACGCGAGACTTCTTAATCGATCGCTTAATTTCGCGACGGAGCGAGCAAGCAGAGTGCGCGTGATTTCCGGCGCGATTAATCGATCGGCGTCGTTTAAAGGTCATTGGTTAATTGCGTCCGCTACGGGACTCGGATCGCGGAATTCACATCCGGCATCGGCGAGGATCGCCGCTTCTAAGCAACGATAGAGACGATCAAGATTGAGAGAGAATCGGCCGCGCGCTACGTGGCGCGTCCTTGCCAAGGAAACGCTTGACTCACGTAATTGTTAATCGCTAACAAGCAACAATAATTAACCTATCGCAGCCGGATGGTAGCCGGCTGGTTAAAGCGCGCGTCTTGAGTTGAGAAAAAGAGAGAAAGACAGACAGAGACGGGAAAGGGAGCCTTGAGGCTCGTTTAATGGACGGTAGATTGTATCAGTCGGACAAGCGTGACTCTCGCGCTCTTTTCTCTATGCTCTTATTTTTCTTTTATTTTATCTCATTAGCGAAACTCGCGCCGAGAGAAGCGACGACGCGCCGTGCGTCGATAAGATGAACGGCACTCTCTTCTCTTTTTTTTTTTTCTCGTCTTCTTCCCGCACGAAGTGTACGCCAAAAAGTATTCGCTCACGCTCGCGGATGATCAATTCGAGACGCGCCAACCCGATCTCTTTGTGAAACCCTGGTCCTTGCGGCCCCCGAGAGCTTCATACGACACCGGATCGGGATTTCCCCGTGTGCCTTTAAGTTCCTTATTTAACGACGTGACTCAGCGCAGAGCACGGGAGAATTCGGGGATCCGACGAGTTTGCGCGAACGAAAGAGTAAAACTCAAATTAGAATTCATTATAGAGAGTCGAGCAAGTACGAAATCATCGGATAAAATTGAGTTAATAAATATACATATTGCTGTATTCGAAAAGCTTCCTAATTTTAGCATCTCAGAAACCTTTTAAAAAGTGTTCCAGATCATTTTTTTTAATTCAAGATTATATTTTATATACTATTATCATAAATTTGTTTCATATATCATTTCAACGGCGATATTTAAAACTCTGAGACAAATGTGTTTCACTACCTTCGATTAATCCAGTAATTTCCCAAATAAAATTCTATTAATTTCTCTGCTCACTTTTATCAATTCTATTTTTAAAAAAATATAAAAATCAAGTCTGAGGAATAGCTGAGAATTTTTGTGCTGCCATCTTTCTTCCTCTTTCTCGAAAATCGTCGGGCAAGTTGCGGCGGCGGTTTTCGCGCAAGAATTATAAATTAGAAACGCGAATTGCGAAACGTTACAATCACGAACACGTGTCGCGCCACCGGGAATGTCATTCGACCGCCGCGGATGTCGCGACGTCTTTACCTGTGAATTTCTCACACCGCACGCACCTAACTATACGATTCGCCGAGGCATCACACCGCGCGAGGAAAATTAATAGTCCGATACAACAGCCATAATTCAAGACACCTCAAGTGTCAACCTGAATTAATAGTTGCTATGCGCAGCTGCGACGAAGCCGGGACCGAATGCAGCGCGAGTTGGCGAAAGCCACCCTAACAAATCTCTATCTTCCTCTCTTCTCTCGCGGAGGATTAATTAAAATAATATTTGATAAAAGCTGAATTTCAGCTGTCCCTACATTACACATCAAATCATCCAATTATATAAAATTATTTAATTATCGTGTCTCAATTTTAGCTACAGAATTCTCCGTTAACAGAGTCCAGCAGACTCAAAAAATTCCCTGTTTTTTTTTTCAGATTTTCCAAGACCAGAAATTCATGTTTTCCTTGACTTTTTAAGATTCTTTTTTCCAAATATATAAAATTAAATAAATTGCATATATCTATACGATAAATCAATTATAAATGTTAAATCATGAAATCCTTGAGATATCTTTACGCTGTAGACGAATCGATTTTTAACAACACAGAAAATTAGCGTGCTGGTATAGTCAAGGAAAAGTTTATATTTATTTAATAAAAAATTTCAAATTATTGAGACAAATGTAGAATGTAAAAAAATCCAGATAAATAGTAAAATTTGATCACCGACAATTCCAGATTGAAAAAATTCCCTGACAACGCCCAGTTTTCCAGATTTCCCGACCATTAGACACCCTGCATAGCTCGAATTTAGGCATAATAACCAATCTAATTTTTTCAGGCGGCTAATTTTTTTTCTCCGTGCGATGCAGTAATAATAACGAAAGCGGGACGGCAACTTGTGCATTCGCGACGAAGCAGAAGGAAAGCGTGGTAGAAATAGCGCTGCGAGAGAACCTGTGCCAAGTTGGCGCGCGACGCGCGAGAGATTGAGCCTCGATACGATGCAGCGGTTGACCGTGACCTACGCCACGCTCGCTTCCATCACCTCTTTCGCCCCTGGTGAAATATCGACTCTCTCGCTAGAACAGGCTCGCGTCTATTAAGCGAAGGCACGGCCGATCGAATGGAACGTATGTGGGAATTTTTGCACGCGTTTCTCTCGCTCCCTTCTGTCGCCGAGCTGTCATTCATTTCTCTATTCCCGATTTCATGGTCCCGTAAAAAAAAAAAAAAAAAAAAAACGGTAGCGCTCGTTTGAGTTCAAAGTCTGGCGCAGCCCGTACACGAAGAGGGGATGAAAAATATTTGAAAGCTAGGATCGCCTCGGGCGTATTTAAATGAGTCTGATTATAATTTATTTCGACATGATAGCCAAATGTGATTAGGTCACGATACGATTCGTAGCATCTCGCGCTAATGATCCCTTGCTCCCAGAATCTAAGTTATCTTCAAGGCCACACGTCACGCATAGAGCGTGATTGCGTTACACGCAAAGTGCCTCGCGCTTCATTCGTGTTGTCCTTAAGGACAGCTGAAACCCCGAGGCTGAAGACGATCGGATAACAATTATTTTCGAATTAATATCCTCCTTCGTGTAACAGTCTCTTCCGAGCAGAGAAAAAAAAACTTTGAAGGATGTACGAAAATGATTAATTTCCGAGTCTACATTGTTTATCGATATACCAAAGTAAGGGTAACAAAATCGATCAATCTCCATCCTGCCATTACATTCTTTTAGCCACACCACTTGTATTTAAATATTTTAAAAATCTATTTTAATGTCTACTCAAAAATTACGTATGCAAATTATAACATATCTTATATTACCCATCCAGTTCTCACTGTATTAATTATTGATTAAAAAATAAATGTTAAGAAAAAGACTGGAATAAATATTCCAAATGACCATCATTAATAAATAAGCACGCTCTCGAATGTCAGACACATGCATGTCATCTGGATGATCAAGTTTGCGTACGGTTTTTAATAAACGCGCATTTTTTTTAAACAACACAGATATCGCGTCAGCACGGCTGAAAGTCGCGCATGATTGCAATTCAGACTGCACAAGTCACCACAAAACCGCAGGATCAAAAAATTCGAGATATATCGCGCATTCCTGCACTGCTACAAGCTACGATATACGTTTTCAGTTAAGCGTAAAATTTCATCCTAACCGTTAGGACTTCGCGGTTAACGAAGTTGTAATTAATCCGCGACGGAGGACAAGTCCGTGAAGCGAAGTACGAAACTTACTTCGTACGTCGCAAAACAATATAAAGGGATTAGATGCCAAGTCGAGAACTACTATGACTCGGGATCGCGCTGATCTCATTTCGTCAATTGAATTTAAAATTAAGAAACTTACCCGACTCTGTAATCCGTACAGGAAGGCGGAGGATTCCAAACTGTGCTGTGACAGAGCATCCAGTCGCACCAAATCTGCAAAAACAAACACGAAAAGATTTCAAAATTAATTACAGAGTAGAAGAGTATACGTGGATAATATAAATTAAAATATTTATTAATTGTTTCAATAAAAAGAATTGCGCGCCAACATTTTAATTCGCATTGATTTCCCTTTCACATTTAAATGTGAAAAATTATGAGGATATTAAATAATATGCAAGAATATTTTTAAAAATATTATTAATTGATAGAAAAGATTCTTGCGCCGAGAAGAATAATATTGTAAAAAGCTGTTAACTCTTTATAAAATATATATTTAAAGCGATTTTATATTAATAAAATAATGTAAAGGAAAATTTTTAAATATCTTCAATTTAAAATAATAAACATTTACTCATAATTTCTTTGAGAAATTTTTAATTATTTAGAATCGAAGATAGAGATTTGGGAATTTTTTCACTTTCGAAAACACGTTTTTAGATGACAATAATAGCATTTTACGAGATTTGTACTTGTCATTTACCGTCTTATTCGAATATTCAATTGTCGAAACGAGGCGCGAAAGTACTTGGCTATTTATAGACCGCGAGGCGCCTTTTTCATCGAGCGCCGTCCATCTATCCTCATAAAATGAAACATATTCCAACGGCCTTGTATCGCGTCTACTTTATCGGCAATATTAATGGTCTCACCCCTCAGTCGTATGCGCGAGTCTGGCTATTATTCCTTGTATCAGCTCGCATTCCGATAGTAATCATTGTTTCCTTTCTTTTTCTTTAGAGCTCTTTCTCCTCACTCGAGATCACATTAGTAACTATGTAACGCGGTCGCGCAAATTTCGCAGCGCGTATATATCAATATTTATTAAAAACCACGAAATTTCTTAAATCCGATTTCAGCGCCGATTCATTATTTATAACAATTCCGAAATGGAATTAAATAAATTTTCAATAAACTCTTCAATTATTTCACTTTGTCAAGCTAACTGGCACAATCGATCTTTAAGAAGAAAATTTATTATAATTAATTCCGAGCGAAACACAAAATCGACAAGTCCAAGATATCGATTTCCGATCGTAGAGAGACTCTTAAGAGGGATGAAGTTTATATACCCACACACGACAGATTAATTACGAACGCGCTGCGTTATGTAATAGGTCGCGATACGATCGAATCGGAGTCTGGATCCGACAAGTCGACCACCAACAGACAGATCTTGCGTGAGCGCGAAATCCTTCGCGACGCTTCATAAATTCTTCGGCGGGAGAATTTAGTACTTTCGTGCCGCGATAACGTCGAGGAATCGGATCGAGCTCGTGAAGAAAACCTGGCGCCTTCCAAGTTGATACCCTTCCAGAGGAACCAGTGGACAGCCATAAATTATCCCGGAGGAAAGCGGAAACGGATAAAACGGACGATGTTAAACGAACGGTGAAATCTCTTTTTACGACCGCGCGCATATTTGCACGAGCTCCCGAGATTGGAGAACACTGAACTGTGACCAGCAAAGAGAGAAGACTGAGAACGGGGTTGGCCGTCACAGCTCCAGATCTAATTATCCCGTAATGGCGAGCTCTACGAACGATGGACGTGATCGAGCAAACGTTTCGACTCGGAAATTGACTTACGCTCGCCGACTCGCGTCGCGAAACGCAATTAAGACTTCCCTCGTCCGATAGGTATTGACCGGCGATAACGGTGGAAAAAGGGATGGAGGAAACGTACTTTAATAGCCGGTAGAAGCACTTGTAGATCCTCGCCGACCACCAGCCGCGGTTCCTGCCCGCTGTCTAGCTGAGCTTTCAACAGAGATACACCACGTTCCAAGATCAGGCTGAACATCTGTAGCGATACTACGAGCGCCCGTTCTTGGACCTCTGATCTATAGCCCTGCTCCATCTGGGAATCTGTAACCAAAAATGTCGATAAAAATTTTACATACGTATATAAATGCATTTCGGAAAAGGTAAAAATTATTTTTTTATTCCTGGAAAGATACTTTTAAATAATATAATACAAAACATATTACTTTACAAGAAGTATGATATAAATTCAAGAAATCTTTTAAAAATTAATTTTTCAGGGCTCTTAAACCTGTCAAGTCAATTTCCTAGAAACAATTTCATTTCGCACAAGATACTAGGAGAAAAAATTGTCGCTGAAGAACATGATTCCAATTGATTGCGAACAAAAACTTGTGGGGTGAAAAGAGAGAGAGAGAGAGAGAGAGAGAGAACGCGTAAGCCAATGCCGGTAGCGATCACGTTTCGGTGATGATGATGATGATGATGATCGGTGATGCACAATCTATTCGGCGTCGCGACCGGATTCGCTATATCGGAGGCTGCGGGCTCCTCTCTTCGGAGCTGTCATTATGCGTCGTATCGAAGCTACGTGACAGGACGCGGCTCCCGGCGGATTCCGAGGAGGCGAAGGTCACGACACGACCTTCTGCGCTATCTCCCGCTTCCTTCGAATCATTTCCAGATCGTTTCCTGCAGAGGTTTCCTCGGAGGGAATCCGCCGGTGTAACGAATCGATTCCTCGAAAGGAAACGATATTCTCGATAAATCCAGGAGATATCATCCACGGGAGAAGTTTAATTTGCAGTAACAGAAGGGTGGTCTGAATATTATCCTCTGTAATTCCGATCTCCGGAGGAGATAAATTCTCTTCGTTTCGTGTACTCTCGCTTCGAGTTAAAATAAAATTGCTCTTTCATTACAAAAATTATTTTAATTTTCTCAAAGTGCGATATACCCTTGTAAGATGTCAAAGATTTTATTTTCAAACAAATTATAGAATTTATATAAGAAATATTAAATCTCTTTAAAATCTCTTTAAACTTTCAAGTCAAGGATATCATTCACATTTTTTCAAATTTGGACAATAAAATTTTTCGAATTTTCGAATATATGATAAGCGTTGACGTTTTTTTCATAATTTGAAGCCTGCTTAAACATATCCAACATTTTAATTAATTATTAATAAAGCATTTTAATAATTATTTAATTATCTAATTTTAAAGTTTTACTTATCTATATAAAGAGCCTTACTTCAGTATTATTATTTAATTTGTATTAATAATATATTATTTAAAGATTCATATTTTTTAACAGCTATCAGCTGATTTCTGTCAAAAGATTAATGGAGTTCTATTTTTATTAATTTTTTTAATATCAATCTTTTTAATTATAAAAGTGAAGAATGGCGCGCATTTGTGTTGTTCTAGTTTTATAAAAAAGAGAAACAGAGAGAATTGTCATCTCATGTATTTATTCGATATTTTAATAGGAGTTTTTATCGTTCTCTCAAAGATAAATCACTGATTGAATATTTGTACTGAATATTTTACGAGAGCAATGTCGCACACGGTTATTTTCATTCCAATTCTGGGATCGTATCAGATTCTATTGTACTACCTCGGGAATATTCGTCCTCGGCGAACGACCCATCGTTACCTTGTGCGTCTTTATTAGCGAGCTATAGCAAAGCTAATTAGATGAGCGTCGCTAACGATGGTGTAATAGACCCGCGTGCAAGAACGTCATTTATCGGAACTACTAGTACTTATTATGAGAAACGAATAATGTAATGAGTCTAGCAAGCTGCATAACGATCTCATCTTCTATATATTTATTAAAAAAGCGAAAAATATTAAAACTTGATACACTTATACAAAATAAAATGGATATACACTATTTAAAAAAAAAAACGTAAAAGAAAATTAGAACAGTACATATTCGTTAGCCGACTTTTTTTGCGACAAAAGTTGACACTGGCTTCGAAAAGGTGTCCGAACAATTCGCTCGCATGCGAGTAATTTTTCGCGGCACGAATTAACTGTGCAGAATAGAAAAGTAACACAAATCCAACAAGCGAGAGGGCACGTCCGTGCCATCCTCCATCAAGCGTCGTACTTATACGCGAGAGCCATATTCGAAAGTGGGCTCTGGCACTTTAATTTATCGCAGACAGGGATAATAATTAGCGTTTAACCGCGAAGTCGCTCCGAGAGAGAAGGAGAGAGAGATAGAAAGAACCCGTATAGTCATCTCTCCTTATCGGGAATTGGGAGTGTAAAGGGTAATTAGTTAGAGAAGATTTACAGGGAGAGGCCTTAACTAATTGCCACCGCAATCATTAGCGAATTTCAGGCGTGTATCGTCTTCTTACACGCGTCTAGTTCTCCAATTTTCCTTATCTTTCGCGCGATCTAACTGCGATCGTTAATTCGCGAATGGACAATTAAATTATATATTTATGCTAATTAACAGCGACAGGGTGTCCAGCAGACTCAATAAAAAAAATTCCTGACCTTTTCAGATTTTCCAAGATCAGAAATTTATTTTTTCCCTGATTTTTTAGTATTATTTTTTTTAAATATATAATTTGCATATATCTATATGATAAATCAATTAAATGTTAAATCATAAAATCCTTGGGATATTTCTTATATTTATTTAATAAATTCATTTAATAAAATTATAATTATATAGTTTATATTTATTTTTTCAAATTATTGAGACAAATGTAGAATAATGTGAAAAAATCCAGATAAATAGTAAAATTTCCTGACTTTTTCCTGACAATTCCCTGATTTATAAAATTCCCAATGTCCGGTTTTCCAGATTTCACTGACCGCTAGGCACCCTGGCGATCCAACTGCGATCGTTAATCCGCGGATGCAAGACAATTAAATGATATTTATGTTAATTAACAGTGATATCGAGGAGGTTTCTGTCCGAAATGCGCGCGGATTAAAACGCGCGGCAACGTGTGTATACACTCGATACGAATCAGTCGAAGGTGAACGAACCTCGCGGAAGATATACACACGCCGCGCTTCCTCTTATCGAGATGTTTAACTAACGAAGTGAACGCGACAGAGCGAGATCCCGCGAGCGCGCGCTCTTAATGAAGTCGGTGGGTAAGCTCGGCCTTCCTGGTTCCCGGACCGATATTAACGCGATTACAGACACGAAAACGGACGGAATCGAGTCACCGTGCACAATCGAATTATCGGCGCGCTGGATAATTCGATTATTAACGATTGTAGCAGACATCGCGCGTCTCTCCCGTTCCGCAGGAACACCAATATGTTGCATTTTTTACGAAATATTTCGAAAATGTTGTTTGTTAAAAAGAATATTTTTATCAATTTAATTCATATAATTCGAAGCAAACTCTCCTTTCGGGGAAATTGAGTTTGCGCTCTCGCTTTACTTAATCGATAATTCTTTCAATAATTATTCTTTATTTAGGGAGAAAAATAAAAAATTATTTTGAGAAGAATACCTTCACTCGAGTAAAATGAATTTTTACGAAATATTTCAAAAACATTAAAAATCGTATTTACAAACTTAATTCATGTAATTCAAAATTAATTTATAATTCAATAAACTCCCCTTCTGGAGAAATTATGTTTACACCCCTTTTCTTAATCGATATCTTTCAATAATTATTCTTTGTTTAATGAGAAAAATAAAATTTAAAACTTATTTGAGAAGAACACCTTCGCGTAAAGTAAATATATTCGTTAAATAGAAGAACGTTGAGAGGATTTATTCACGTCTTGATCTAAAGGTTTTAATCCGCTGTTTTCATCTTTTAACGAAAAGCAGCATTCGTGTAGAAAATTCCTTGTCGTCTACCTTGCCTGAGGACACATGTACCGCGGAGAATATACATACATAGGTATGTACCAGGGTCTCTTTACACGAGTTAATTAGTCTTATCGTATATTTATGTAATGCCGTGCCCGGCGGAAATGTGAGAAATGTATTACATCTAAAATATAAAAAATATCCAAACATATATCTCTCTCTGTTCTCCATTATAAATTCTCCAATTTTTTTTTCTATTCAAAGTACCATCATGTTCCTTCAGCGCTCGTGATAAATATAATCGTTCAGACATTCGAAAACGATCACTCTTTTTTCACCTGTGTTTTGACAGTTCTCGGGTCCTTAAGTGGTTAACGGTAAGATAACAGATAATCGATCGCGCGTGTTCGGCAATCGATATCGACGACGATATATACCGTTCTATCTTTTGACAGGTGAAGCGCTTCTTTCGGAGCTACACCGAGAGAAGAAAGCACTCTCGTTAATTCGGTGTTACCCCCATTCTCTTTTAGTAACGACTACAGTGGAATATAAGCAGACTATTGTCCGAGGATAATCGCGTTTTAATAGCCAACACGAGAACCTTATGTATCGTTAAATGTAGTTATAATGCGGAGCACAACTCCGAGGGATCCGCCGCGAAGGTGTAGGATGATTTTAATGGCCGCGAATATCTCGGCCGAGCGTTTTACGCATTATTTAAGCAGCGCAGCACGCACGGACGCGTAGAACCGCGCGCTCGTTTTGCGGTTTAACGTTTCAATCCTCGCTACTGCATTTTACCCGCTGTTCACCGCGCGTTATACCTTTCCGAGTCGTTAACGGCTATTATAGAGATATTACGCCGCTCACAATATATCGTGCAACCTTTACGATGTTGCATCTACTTGGCGGAGGACATGTTTTTCGCGAATATTGCCCCATAAGAACGATATAATAACGAAATTAAGTGAGTCGTAAAATAGCCACCGATTCCCGGCTTTTTTTCATTAAATTAATTTGCCCGTTGAAAAATGTATCTGCCATCTGTCTTTTTCTATTTGCATCCTGTTTCTTCTTAATCTTCTCGTTCACTAAAAAATTTTAATTATAATGTATATTTTTTTTCCATACGCGTTGTTTTATTTAGATTTATTTATATCTTCTCTCTATTTGTCACGCCGAATTTTTATAATCTTGGCATATGCAGTATACTTTTAATTAATGTTGCACAAAAATGTCACTCTGAATGTGAGAGGAAAATTGAATTGTAATCTGTTTGTTTTTTTAAAACATGTTCA